TTAAGATAAAAACTGCCTGTTTGAGCAAATCAGATTTCATATGAATCCCCCTCTGACTCCATGTTTATGACTGAGAAAGTTTCTGTTTGCTAACAATGATCCACAATAAGATAAGGCTTGCAACAATACAATTCTCATTGAATTGCTGGGAGGGATGCTGTATGAGGAAGCTCCTGTTTCAAAAACATCCTGCTGTCTCACATTGACAGACAGATCCTAATGATGTAATACTCTTGTCAGAACCTGAAATATCAGCAGACGCTAATCAATTACTGGCTGCCTTGGTGCTTGAATTGCCCACAATGCTCCTGAGTTTAAATGTCATTGGCAAATTAACAAGAGTGATTTCTTCAGAAGGAATGCCATTGGGTGGATGCAGATTAAACCTTTTCCGTCCCTTGCTTTGTTGGACCCCCCCCCCAGCGGCTTGGCCTTTCATGTCCCCTCGAGACTCCGTCCTATTGTTGAGCTTTTTTCAGCCGTCTGCGCAGATCTCCGTTTGCACCCCCATAACCCATTCAATGAGGCTCCCGCATCCTAATGGTGCTCCACTTTCATACGGAAGGGTTACCATGGAAACCGAAAAATATTGCAGGACCCTCCGCACTGTTGCTCTCCACCCGCTAATAGTGCTCTAAACAGAGAGTTCAAGAGAGACTCCTGCAGCAACAGGCTTAGGGGTAAAATTTGATCCCACAGTGGCACGGTTCTATTACAAACCAACATAATGACAATTACTCACTATTCTGCTGCTTTTGTCATACTTTGGAACAAAGTGAGACTGGGAATATCGCATATCCCTACCTGGGGATACGTTAGCTGAGCCATATGGTGATTAAAAAGGAAAAAAAAGTTTGTAAATGACTCTTTCAGCGTGTGTTTATCCTCAGTTTCCCTGCCCGTGTGAAGCTGATGTTATTGATTCTCTCAGCGTGGGCGCTTTCAAGCTCCCATGATAAGAGAGTGTATCATCCCAGTGCATCTCCCCACTTCTGAGATTCGTCCCTCTTCGTCTCTCTGACTTTGATTGCTTCTTCCAGATGCAATCTCAATCCTATATTCTGGATGGGGGGGAAAGGATGTGTTGCTGCAACTGTCGCTTGGGTTTAGTGTCCTGCCGAATGGGATGTCAGCCAGCAATATGGTGTGTCGGAGAGATGATGTTGCTTGGCTCTATCAGCGAGGATACTCCAGGGATATTCTCCCTTCCTGTTCCTTGTCGGGATGAAAATGCCCTGCCAGCTTATTGCACCAGCTAACTATATGCCGCTCATGTCTTTCCAAAAGGAAGGCAGCGCTCTCCATTATTGGGGTACTGGGATTGTCAGTGCCAGCGCTTTGAAACCGGCTCCAAAGTGCAGTCAGTCAAAATTTGAGCTGCCGACTATTTTTTTTTTTGCACACAGAGGCTGGAGGAGCAGTGGTTTAATTGGTGCTCATTTGCTGTATCGTTATTTTCAGTTGGGAGACAGTTGTGGGGAAAAGAAAAAGCCATTAAAAGACAGGAAAAAAGTTTAAAGCGTTTATGCTCATTAGATACATTTGACTGCAGACACATGCATTGACAGCCGTAGTCAGCACAGTGCTGAGAGAAAAAGGTGAATAATGCATGAGCTCAGACACTCCTCAAGGTCAAGCCATAAAATGTACGAGGAGAGTGTGGTTTAGGGTTTACTAATAATAGACAATTAACCTTAACCTTATTTTAGAACCTCAAGAAGGTAAATAGGTTTTTATCGGGATGCGACGTTACCCTGGACTCCTGCTATTAATGTTGACTTTTATTTCCTCTGCTGCTATTAATATTCTCTTACAAATGAGAAGTGAAATATTCACATGAATGAAGCACTTTTGCAGTCTTATAATAGTGTGGCGCTCACGAGTGCTTCATAAATAAGAAATGCAAAACCCTGACATTTTAAGTGTGCCAGAATTTCTCTTTCTGTATTTTTTTTATTCCAACTGTAATCGCGCTCAGATCGTCACTTTTATTTCTGCTTTTCACTCCTCTACTATTTATTCACCTCATTAGCTTGATCTTAACAATTTTTTTTTTCTGTGCTTGTGTCCAACAGCCCATGAAAAGAGGAGCTGGGGAGAAAAGCAGGACAAACAATCACCAATTTCACCTGAACACAGAAGAAAAACAAAGAGATCCGCATGGTATGGTTGTGTTTCTTCTTCAGATTTAATGCAAGCGATGTTAACGAAAGAAAACCCTCAATACTTTAATCTCCAGCATATTATTTGTGTTTTAAACATCCTTATGCCCTCTGGTTTCCTATTGTGCTACATAGCTGCGACCATGAGAGATCCCAGCCTCTGCACACGTGTGTAAAATCAGTGCGAGTCACAGCAGAAAGAGCTTGTTGACAGAACCCTCTCAGCGAGATGCTGACAGCACAAGCGAAAAGCCATTGTTACCGTCGACACGAGGCAGAGAGCCGGCGTGAGAGCCGCCTCAAAGAGCTGCTGCTGCTGCTGAAATACTGGCAGAAAGGCTTTCGTTCTTTAACCATCACAGCAGGCTTGTGTTGCTTCCTTGTTAGGCTCTGATTTGCATTGACATTTGCAGCATTAGTATTCCAGGCAAGGCTGATCTGCAGACATGTGAAGATTTAGAGGTTAAAGGGCAGTTTGGATCCAGACTGATCAGCTGTTAACAGCTATAGGACGTATCTGTCAAATCAGACAAATGATGGAACAGACATGTAAATATATTGGCATTATTAGAACTGCAAAGACAACGTTGGCAATTTAAGTGCTTTTATTGCAATTCAATTCAATTTAGTTTATTTCTATAGCACCAATTCACAACACATGTCATCTGAAGGCACTTTCCAGTTCACCAGATCATCCAGTCAGATAGATTCAAAGTTTTCTATCTAAGAAAAACCAGTTGATTGCTTCGACTCATTGACTCGACTTGCAGAAACATCGATTAAAACATGTATTAAACCGTTATTCCTGGGTTTTATCATTCAGCTTATGTTATGTTATGTTTTTATGTTTTCCTTTGAAAGACAATGAAATATTCATCCTTTACTAACATTTAATAGGGGTGGAACGGTTCACAAAATCCACGGTTCGGTTCGGTTCGGTTCACGGTTTCGTGGTCACGGTTTTCGGTTTGGTTCGGTATATGTTGATTGTTACCCGAAATCCCATAAAAATTAATGAAATTAATGAAAAAATCCCAAAAAAATGAATGAATTGTAATTATTTTTAATAGTGTTGCACCGATACCAGTATCAGACGGGGCCCCGATACTGCCCTAAAATGGTGGTATCGGTATCGGTGAGTACCAACAAATAGGGCACCGATACCATTTTGAGAGCCATAAATTTATTCAACTATTGTCACCCACTCCAGGTAGGCAATAAAAAGTTCTACTGGATTCACTTTGTATTAGATTTTTTCCTGCTTCACAAAGGTAGACAGCAGCTTGACAAAGCCATGGTGGCAATTATTTTACATTATTATGGTATCGGTATCGACCGATACTGCACAGCCAGGTATCGGGTATCGGGGCCAAAAAATCGGCGCAACACCAATTTTTAATGATCCACAGAAACCATGCATCATTTCCGTATGTTTTACTGCTTTAAATTTAATCATCTGGTGCATGCCCTCTACGATCTCCAAGGAACTCAGAGCGGAGCGGACGGGAGCCACAGTGGAGGCTGTAGGCTTTGCTTTGAGCAGGCGGTCTGGAGCGCAGCGGGGCGGAGCGCTGATGGAGTATGAGGGATTTCGGGGTTAGCCTGACATGTTGGTCATGTTGCTGTTAGCATAAACAACACGTGTTGCACAATGCTTGCACACTGTTGCACTTTTATCCACAGCTTTCTTTCTGCCATCATCGTAGGTCACTCTAAATGCAAAGTGGTCCCATACAGCAGACCTATAAAGTGCTGCTGGCGCGTCTTCCAACTCCTGTTCTTTCCCACTCGCCATACCCACACAATTCTCCACAACAACTGATTTTTTTCTGCTACACCCGGCTACGCTGCTTCGCTTCTTCTTCTTCTTGTTTACTACTGGTGGTTGGCTTTGGTCGCAGTACCGCCACCTTCTGCTCTGGAGTGTAAACGCTTCGCCTATAAGAAAAAGGAGCAGCGCATGAACCGAACGCAACACACGCGAATCGAACCGAGACAGTCGAACCAAACGGTTCGGACGGTTTTTATGAACCGTTCCATCCGTTACATTTAAAGACAATATTTTCTCTGAACTAAAGGAACTTCTTTATCAGAAGTGTACATGATGGTTTAAGAAGAAGGGAGCTTTGTGCTATACTTTTACAGTAACTATTGTTACTGTTTTCATGTCGATTAAGTGTCAGTTTATGTGAGGTTTCATTCGATCCCTCTCAAGCTGTGCTGCTCAAGCTTTTTTTTATCAGTTAATGATCTACTGAGCTCCTGTTTAAGGTGCTGGATCATTTATTATCTATTTATTCTATTAATTATATTCTATTTTTTTAAAAAAAACAATTGAACAGAACCCAATTTAATCAGATGTGTTTGATTAAAATTATATCAAGAAAAATATTGACTAAAAGTTTAGTTTATAAAAAAAAAAATATTTCAACTTGTTTTTTTATCAACATAAAAATTTAGATTTGATTGGAAATCAGGATCTAGTTTTTTTTAAGAAATTTCCAAAGCAGAAATTCTGAAATTATTTGAACACATTTTTTTTATATATTGCTTTAAAACTTTGGAGGATTTTTTTTATCATGTCCATAAAAAAAACAGTTTTTAGGGAAGTCTAACTATTAATTTAATGATTTTGATAAGAATATTTAACATCCTCAGTGCAGTATAAGTAGCATACTTACAACCGACAAATAACCCAAAGACAAAAACTAATTGTAAACACAGACTAATACGTTTGTGAAATGTACAACCATGAGACTTCAGGCAGTTTCTTTCCTCTGGAAAACCAACAAATAAAACAAAATGCATAACCCATAATGCTCCTCTTTATGGTCCTTTTACTGGTGAAAAAGCTTTGATTGCTGAATGGAAAAAAATGCCTTGTTTACATCCACATCTTTTATGCTGCTAACTATGTTGTGGTGCAAATATTTCAGACAATTGAGTAACTGTGAATTTGTTTAAAACCTCTTCTCCCGTTTCCATATTTTATGAGGCTTAATCAGCAGCAGCGGGATTGGCTCAGGCAACAATGTGGAGCTATAATCACAAAGAGCAGAAAAATGTTTGATACGGTTCTTAGAGGCATGTTAATGCTGCAGGCTTCAGACTAGCAGGTCAAACATAAGGAATAAAGCTGTTAACTTAAAACATACACAAATTTGAATTATTCATTAAATGCTGTCATGCAGGAAGTATCTATTAACCCAACCAGTTGCTCTGTTATCGCATTGACTCAGAGTTATAAGCTCTGACAGTACAAGCTGCTCTCACAATATTGGTTTAGAGTCATCAACCTACTTTGTTTGCTTTGATTAACCTATTTTCAACAGAGACTTGTGTTTTCCGACAGTTTTATCTCTTCCATCTCTCGTGAAACCACATTCAGAACTGTCATCCTCAAGGCTCGTTTGATCAGTGCGCTTTAAGCACCATCTTGTTTCAGAAAGTAGGTTACGCAGTAGCTCGTTTTCCTCTCCCTCTTATCTTGTTAAACCTTCACTAACTTTCTCAAGGTTTTGGATATGTGTGCACAGCATGTAGCCTTCTGTGAGTGATGAAACAGACTTCAGGCAATCCACACAAGGGAGCAAGCTGTACCCAAACTAACATATGGCCTTGTACCACAGTGTGACTGACTGTTCATTAGACAAATGGCTGGCCAAACTGTGCATCTCCCCCCCCCGTTTCCAATTGTAAAGTGCTCCCCTGTGCTTTGTTTTGTTTTCTCTAACAGGAACTAGTGTTTGCTGGCGATGCCAAACACTGTCTTGAAGACAAAAGCCACTCTCACAGGATGTCTGGGTGGCCTTAGATACCAGGTTTTTATTGAAGGGGAAGAAAGACAGAGAAGTTAAGATGGCAAACATACTTTTAGAGGGCCTTTGCTGTGGTTGAGTGATTCAGCAACTTTAAAAAAGAGAGCATTATTGATAAGAAGATTCTTTGAAAATCCCATCAACACCTTTGTTTATAGATTAAGATCGAAGATTATCTCCTTTCTATCTCTTCTTTCTTTCATCCTTTCTAATTTTTTTTCTCTTTTTTCCTTGTCTTCTTCTGTTTTTCTGTTCTATTTACATTGCAGTGTCCATATAAACTGTAAAACTCCCTGCATAATGATAATAAAGCAATTTATATGCATGAAACAAGTAGAGCAATATGGCAATTGCCATACTGCTACACTTGTGAAAGTAAAATCTGTTGGGCTCTTTTTGGCATCAAGAAAATTATTCTTATTGCCAGGACACTGTAAAAAAAAAAAAAAAAAAAAGATTATTAAGATCGGCCTATTTTTCGGTATAATTCTGTTTCCCTGACTGTGACTGCCTGGATGCGCATGGAGCCCGTCTCCCTGGCTGTGTGTTTCCTGGGCGGGGCCGCCTGTGAAGCTAGTTGGCAAGTTCTTTTGTATCTTTGCTTTTTTTTTGTATCTCTATTTCTGTCTCCTTGAACCCCAGTGGGCCTCAGCAGATGGCCGCTCACACTGAGCCTGGTTCTGTTGGAGTTTTCTTCCTGTTAAAAGGGAGTTTTTCCTCTCCACTGTCGCTATAAACATGTTTGGTGTGAGGGATTGCATTTGAGTCGATAAGTAAATTAAATTAACTGGTTTCCTTAGATAGAAAAC